TCTGCATGGTGGGAAGATTTTCTTTAAAGCAACATGGGTCCATAATTTGACAGTCAATACGTTTAGCCATCTTCCTTTGGAGGGGTATACCAGCCATTTTTCTCATGTATCTGTACAATGGAATTATAAGATTGTTGAGCTCTTGCTAAATTTTATTGATTCTTATTTGCACCAAACTGCACTCTGGCTTTGCCTTTGACTAAGGTAGCATTGATCTGCATGATGACAGACTCTATTGAGTAGGCACTGCTCCAGCCCTATAGGAAGAAGAAAATACTTCTCTAAAACACTGTTGTACTCCTGACTCTCACTAATGAAAGCTTTTAAAATGGCATTTATCAACATGAGTTTGTAGTTTAGAAGAAAAGTAAACTTGGTCACATCTTCAAACTCTAGTGAAACTTACAAACTTAAATTCTAATATGAGTAAATGACAATCTTAAATAAACACTGCTCTTAATACCAATTCTAGCACAGAGTCAATAGCAAACTCAATGTCATTTCTCTAGTTTACCCTAAACATCTTTTTTCTGTCTTAAAAGTGGGTGCTATTTTAAAAATCTAGTTTTTAAAGTAGGTATATAAAGCTATTACACAGCAGCTTTTCCAATCAGTATCTAACTATGTAACAAAAATACTTCATTGAGGTTGAAAACTGAATGCTATAAGAAACCAGTCACCTGTTTTGTGAGGAGTTCCATACATAATGCACCTCCACCCAAAACGTACCTTAGAAAGAAAAGAAACCATAGTAAATGCTGCATGTTTATATTCCTTATTTAAAAGTACCATTATTAATAAAGTATATTTAAAAGTAAAGGTTAGATATTAGCATGCAAAGATGAACAGTTATTAGAGTTATAAACCTATGAGTGACTAACAAGTTTTAATACTGTTGTTCTAATACAGTTTTTTAAAATAAAAATGATTAGTAATGGTTCTCAGTAACAAAATACTTTAAAACTATCAAATGTTAAAAATAATTCAGCCACACAAATTTCTGAGAATGAGAACAAGATAAGTTTTGTGTAACAGGAAATTTCTCTACCATCATATCAAAAGATTATACAGTTGAAAGATTTCTTCTGATAATGGTGACACAGGTTTTACTCAATCCATGAAATAAGTACCTTTATGGTATTTAATGGGTTAAATGGTTATTGTTCAATCTGTTGTAAGTACAAATGGTTCTGACCATGGATCCCACTCTGGGATTCCACAGCTCTCTTTCTAAGATCAACAGGGTTTTCTCTGAACTAAAAACAACTTCCAGGACTTTCTGACATCTCTCTTACATTCATTGTTATACAGTAGAAACGGCTCACAGCTGCCTCTGCAGCAGGCTTTAGAGATTTAGAGTAAATCACACAGGAGAAGACTGGCCATCTTTCTCCAAGGGAACCACTAGTGGTTTGGAATCACCGGAGAGGTAGGGCCTTTGGATTGGTACCACAACTCCCTGTGGACCAGGCTACCAAAGCTCCCTTGATCTAAATCACTATGTAGATTAAGATTTTTTTTTTCCAATCTCTAAATCCTTTCGCACAGAAAATAACCCCAACTCAAGTATTTAATGTATTTTAAACTTTAAAATCATAAACAATGGGTTGGATGATTAAACACTGTGAAAATGGCAATATAACCAAAAGCAATCTACAAATTTAATGCAATCTTGATCTAGATCCCATCATCATCATTTTTCAAAGAGCTGGAAAAATAATCACCTTCATATAGAAAGATATCACAGATAGACAAAGTAAGACTAAAGACTAAAAACAAATATGAGGCCATACATTTTCTGATTTCAAAACCTAATATACAGCCACAGTAATTAAAACAGCTCAGTACTCGTAAAGTTACAGGGACACAGCCCAGTGGAACAGAATTGAGAAGTGAGAAATAAATCCATCTACTTACGGACATTTTATTTTCAACAAGGAGATGAAATTCATTAAGTGGGAGAATGGTATCAATTTGCAGAAAATTAATACCAGATCCCTACTTCATACCATATTAAAAATCTAACTCAAGCTTGATCACAGTTCCAAATATAAAGCCTAAAACTAACTATACAAATCAAAGAAAACGTTGGAGCACATTTAAGAGCCCAAACGTAGAATGTAAGAAGCATGAATGAAGGTAAATTGGATATTTTTGAGAGAAATGAAATGTATAAATATTGACATACTAGGTATTGGTGAAATGAGATGGAACGGCATGGGATATTGTGAATCAGACACTCATATGATCTTCTATGCTGGACATGAAAAGGAGAGGAAAAATGGAGTTGCATTCACAGTTAAAAAGACCATTTCCAGATCCATCTTGGAATACCTATCAATACCACCATTATTCAAATACATGTACCCAGAGCCAAGGAGGAAATAGACGAGTTGTACTAATTTTTAATTTTTTTATTTTATGTATGCGTACTGACAAATTGGATCTGACTGGTACAAGAGGAGATTGCCCCTCCTTCTCCGGCAGAGTATCTGGTGGATTTGAACCACGTACCACTGGGATTGCAGTGCAGCTTCTTGCCACTAGGCCACCAGAGCTCCCCATAATTTTTAATTTTTTTAAAATTCTACCAACTTCTGCTATCAGAAATCAATCAAACATTCAACCAGGATGCACTAATAATAATGGGTGACAGAAATGCAAAAGTTGGGAATAGAAAAGAAGGATCAAGTTGGAAAACCTGGGCTGGGTGACAGAAACAAGGCTGGGGATAAAATGATAGGATTTTGTAGAGTCAATGATGTAGTCATTGCAAATACCTTTTATAAGAAATATAAAACAACTATGAGATATCATCTCACCCCAGTAAGAATAGTAAAATTGAACAGAACAGCAAGCAACAAATGCTGGC